TCAGGTGATTCTCCCACCTCAGCTTCCTGAGTAGCTGGGACTACAGGCAGGCGCCACCACGTCTGGCTAATTTTCTGTATTTTTGGTAGAGGCAGGGTTTCACTATGTTACCCAGGCTGGTCTCAAACTCCTGAGCTCAAGCAGTCTACCTGCCGCAGCCTCTCAAAGTGTTGGAATTACAGGCGTGAGCCACTGCACCTGGCCAGCTATTTTTCTTTTAAGGAAAAAAAGAGGCTGCTCTGCTTATGGAGTAGTCCTTCTTTATTCCTTTCCTTTATACAAAGAAAAAGAAAAAGAATGGGTGGTTTTACTTTGAAACTTTTACTTTGAAACTTTTTTTTCTTTTGAGATGGAGTCTCGCTCTGTAGCCCAGGTTGGAGTGCAGTGGCGCCATCTCGGCTCACTGCAAGCTCTGCCTTCCGGGTTCACGCCATTCTCCTGCCTCAGCCTCCCGAGTAGCTGGGACTACAGGCACCCGCCACCACGAGGGTCATTTTTTGTATTATTAGTAGAGTCAGGGTTTCACCTTGTTAGCCAGGATGGTCTTGATCTCCTGACCTTGTGATCCACCCGCCTCAGCCTCCCAAAGTACTGAGATTACAGGCATGAGCCATCGCGCCTGGCCTACTTTGAAACTTTTAAAACTATTTGCAAATACAATTTTTCTCTAACCAGTTAGTTTGCAGTAGAGAGTTTCAATTTAAGGTCACAGAGGAGGAAGCCAACTAACTTATAAAATGCTCACTAAATGCTTGGTCAGTGTTTCATATTTTCTTTATCATCAGTTAGCATTCCCTACACCATCACTTTAGAGAGTCAATGGAATTTTATAGGAGTAGGCCTCAGTAACTACTGGGAGGCCAGTAGCACTGTTCAAGCACATGGGCTGTGTTTGAAGCTTGACCTGTCATTTGTTCACTTTCTGACCTTGAGCAGATTACTTAAACTCTCTGTACCTGTTTCCTCATGGGGATAATACAAGTACTTCTAGGGTGTTTGTGAAAACTCATAAAGAGGTTAAAAACATTGCCTGGCATATAGTAAGCACCCAATAAATAAGAATAAGAAATAATATTTGAATAGTAATTATGCCAGAAACTGTTATAAGAGCTGTATCTATATTAACAATTAGCTATTACTAGTATTACTAATTCCTAGTTCAGGATTTAGCTTAGTAAACTTTCTGCTTCAGAAGCAAATATGAGAGGTGAAAACACCAATTTATTCTCCTCAGTCTTAGTTACATACTTTCCAAGTAAAGTCACAGAGCACCATTTCCTTGCTGGCAGGGACAAGACATGGGTTTATATATCACCTATCCCCTCAATTTAAGAGCATGTACTAAGCAGTTGGGCATTTAAGCAGAAATTAAGAGTTGCCAGGTATTGCTGCTCAACTGGTACCCATTTTAGGAATGATGCTGAATCATAGCATTTTAGCTGGTCTTCTCTCAGGACACTTAAGGCTAGTTTTTTGTATTTTTAGTAGAGATGGGGTTTCACCATGTTAGCCAGGATGGTCTCGATCTCCTTACCTCGTGATCCGCCTGCCTTGGCCTCCCAAAGTGCTGGGATTACAGGCGTGAGACACTGCGCCCAGACTTTTTTCTTTTTTTTTTTTTTTTGAGATGGCGTCTCCCTCTTTCGCGCAGGCTGAAGTGCAGTGGCCCAATTTTGGCTCACTGCAACCTCCACCTCCCAGGTGCAAGCAATTCTCCTGCCTCAGCTTCTTGAGTAGCTGGGATTACAGGTGCCCACCACCACACTTGGCTATTAGTAGACCTCAGGTGATCCACCTACCTCCACCTCCCAAGTGCTGGGAATTTTTTTGGTTTTTTTTCTTTTCTCTTTTCTTTTTTGGAGACTGAGTCTCACTCTGTTGCCCAGGCTGGAGTGCAGTGGCCCGATCTCGGCTCACTTCAAGCTCTGCCTCTCTGGTTCAAGTGATTCTCCTGCCTCAACCGCTCGAGTAGCTGGGACTATGGGTGCCCGCCACCACGACCGGCTAATTTTTTGTATTTTTAGTAGAGACGGGATTTCACTGTGTTAGCCAGGATGGTCTTGATCTGTTGACCTCGTGATCCGCCTGCCTCGGCCTCCCAAAGTGCTGGGATTACAGCCATGAGCCACCGCACCCGGCCAGTGCTGGGAAGTTTTTTGTATTTTTAGTAGAGACGGGGTTTCACCGTCTTAGCCAGGATGGTCTCGATCTCCTGACCTCGTGATCCGTCCGCCTCGGCCTCCCAAAGTGCTGGATTACAGGCGTGAGCCACCGAACCTGGCCGACACTTAATACTTTCTTATGGCCCTTGTTATCCTGCAAGTTCTTCAAGGGCAAACTCTGTCTTAACTAGTCACCTTTGTAACCCTTGCAATGCTGAGTATGAGACTGAACACTGGAGGAGAGGAGGGGAATAAAACATCTCCAGGGAAGACGAATGTAATGGGAGCCTCTTCAAGTCCCACTGGCAGCTTATCTTTTGAGTGAGCTTTTTCCTATTTTCAAGCATCTCTAGTAAAATAGGTGTACCAAAGGGCATATCCAGGCAATACAAGCCATTGTAGTTACCATACACCTTTTCTGGAGATAGTCATGGTGCCTAACGATCAGCCTGGCTCTATTAATAATAGTCATTACAGAAAGCTGCACGCCAGGTAGAAAGAGCCATTAGCTGTTACTACTCCACTGCCAAGAAGTAAAGACATTATGTTTCCATTTCTTCTACTTAAGTCTTTTAAAACCTATAGAACATTATGTCCAGTATCTCTGTCTCACACTTACTTTCATTTTCTATAGCTGTTAAAATTTTTGTTTTAAATATTAGGAATATTCCATTCATGGGTCTATAATGAACAGCAAACATTTTATAGAGTACCATGGTTGGAATGGTAAACAAAAATAAGTCAGAAAATACTAATTTTTGGTCCTACGGTAATTTTAACTTGTCCTCCTGGTGTGGTGTGGACACACCCAGGTTGGACTTCATACACAGCCTCTTGCATTATATTGACTCATTGTTAGAGCTCAGGAAGTCACTACCTAAGTGTCTGATTGCTACACTACACATTACCTCAAGATACTATGAAGGTTAATCAGATTACAGAGGGGACATCTATAAAGCTGAGTAAGCCTCTTGGTAATAAAACTACATAAATACAAAATACTGTTTTTTATTGGCAGATAATATATTGTGTTTTAGCACAACACATAAGCTGCTAGGCATGTATTCAATCTGATTGGGATTTGGTTAAATTTGGTTAAAAAATTTTTACCTTAGGTTGCTTCAATTAAAAAAATGTTTAAGGCTGGGTGCGGTAGCTCACACCTGTAATCCTTTCACTTTGGCCTAGTACCGCTTGAGGCCAGGAGTTCAAGACAAGCCTGGCCAACATGGTGAAACCCTATCTCTACTAAAAATACAAAAATTAGCCAGGCGTGGTGGAGGGCGCCTGTAATTGCAGCTACTCAGGAGGCTGAGGCAGAATTGGTCGAACATGGGAGGTGGAGGTTGCAATGAGCTGAGATCGCACTCCAGCCTGGGAGACATAGGGAGACTCGGTCTCAAAAAATAGTAATAGATAAATTTAAAAAGTTCAGCCAGGCGCATTGACTCATGCCTGTAATCCCAGCAGTTAGGGAGGCTGACCACCTCTTTGGGTGGGCGGATCACCTGAGGTCGGGAGTTTGAGACCAACCTGACCAACATGGAGAAACTCCGCTTCTACTAAAAATACAAAATTAGCTGGGCGTGGTGGCGCATGCCTGTAATCCCAGCTACTCTGGAGGCTGAGGCAGGAGAATCTCTTGAATCCGGGAGGTGGAGGTTGCAGTGAGCCGAGATCGTGCCATTACACTCCTGCCTGGGCGACGGAGCGAGCCTCCGTTCTCAAAAAAAAAAAAAAGTTTAAAATATCATTGGTCCTTAAAGTTATGCATTCATTCTCTGATAATTGCTATGTTGAACACAATCTCCTGCTTTACAATGATTAAGCACTAATAATTTGAACCCAGGTTTAATGCCTGATTCTCAGCACAGGTGCTCTGCCTTCTCACGAACATGATTTCAAAAATCATAGCACTGGGATTAGGGAGTGGTGGCCCATGCCTGTAATGCCAGCGACAGAGCAAGACCCCACTCTTAAAAAAAAGAAAAAGAAAAAGAAAAAGAAATCATAGTATTGAACTTGGAGGTTTCTCTGAGATTAAACTTGGGACTCTTCCCTTTTTTTTTTGTTTCGAATAAAGCCATTCTAGGATGAGACACAAAATTCTAAATTATAGTTTACAGTTAACAATTTAAATTGGGTTTAATCTTGACAAGACTATCTAGGGCTATATACACAAATCTCTTTTGGAGAAAATACCGTATCTAAACTGAAGTCTATTCCTGAATATGACAGACCAGGTCAAAAGGTTCTCCTGGCCCTCCAGGGGGATGTCACTCACAAACGTGTTAAACGTCACACTCTGGGTCCCACTCCCTTCCATGCTCATGACCTTCCCAGGAAGGCCCCTCGCCCTTACAAGGCACTTTCATCTTGGGAAGATACATCAGTCCTGGCGGAGAAAGGAGCAAGGCCTTCCCCGGCTCACAAAATCAATACAAATCTCAGCCTACATCCCACAGCCGTGACGACCGTGACCTGGCATCCCCTTTTCTGCAAACTTAAATGTTATCTGGAAATCGGGCCTGGCTCTGAAAGCCCAGGGGCTGGCAGGAGCCCGAGAGGGGGAGAAACTTTCTGCGGCCCCAAGCTAATCGCAGTCACTGCACCGAGACCCGTCCCCTGGCATCCCTTTGCTCCAGCTGACAAGACAGACCACCAAGGTCAGCCAGATTTCCACCCAGTCTGGCCGGGCCCGGACCCAGCTGGGAACCGCCCGAGAAGCATCGAGACCGGGATCCCGGCGGGAAAGGCCGCGCCCGGGGCACAGCGGGTAAGGCCGCGGCGCGCAGAAGCACTCGCCCCGCCCCGCGCCGCGCTCTGGATGGGCGGCCCTCCCACGGGCGACACTGATTGGACTACCGAACCCCGCGCGCTGATTGGCCGCGTGGGCGAGGCGGAGGAGAGCCGTGCGCAGCGGCGTATGTGGGGCCGTGTGCAGACCCGCGTGTGGCGCAGGCAAGGACCCTCAAAATAAACAGCCTCTACCTTGCGAGCCGTCTTCCCCAGGCCTGCGTCCGAGTCTCCGCCGCTGCGGGTCCGCTCCGACGCGGAAGGTGAGGGCTGGGGGAGGGGGCCGACACTGAGGGAGCCGCAGTGCGGGCCGGGTCTGTGGCGGACAGAGAGGGTAGGGAGCGGCGAGGCGGCGATGGCGGCGGCACTTTGGCCTGCGCCGCTGCTGCGTCAGGCGGGAAGCTCGGCTGCTGCCGCCGCCGCCTCGGACCCGGGTTTCTGGCGCACCGCTGTCGGACGACACTCTTGTCCTTTCTTCGTCCTGAAAAGCTGGGTCGCCGAGCATGCGGGTCTCTCGGCGCCAGGGCCGCACCCCAGGCCGCAGAGGAGGCCTGCCCGTGCGCCCTTGGGGCCGAGGCCCTGACGCTTCAAGGGTCGCGGAATGAGGGGTCGAGAGTGGATTTGGCGGGAACTCACTGGAAGGAGTTCGTGTGGTGGGGAAAGGCTCCGACGAAGGGGGGATGGGGTGGGTATAGTCGTGCCGGCCATGTGCTGGGGTCGTGCGCCTGGCGGGCCATGTGCCAAGGGTTTTGGTGGCCTTAGAAAAGGGTTTTTAGGCCGGGCGCGGTGGCTCACGCCTGTAATCCCAGCGCTTTGGGAGGCCGAGGCGGGCGGATCACGAGGTCAGGAGTTCGAGACCAGCCTGGTCAACATGGTGAAACTCTGTCTCTACTAAAAACACAAAAATTAGCCGGGCATGGTGGCGGGCTTCTGTAATCCCAGCTACTCGGGAGGCTGAGACAGGAAAATCGCGTGAACCCGGGAGGCGGAGGTTGTGATGAGCCGAGATAGCGCCACTACAGCCTGGGCAACAGCGAGACTCCGTCTTTAAAAAAAAAAAAAAAAAAAAAAAAAGGATTCTTGAAGGAGCCCTTGTGTTTGGGGTGGCGAGACACTGCTGGAAGACTTGGGAGCCTTTAGTGTTTATACTCCCCGTAGTTGATAGTTTCCCGGTTCTTGAATTTTTATCATTTAAATACTAAGTTGCTTGTTTTATATTACCATTCGAAAAGAGGCTGATGGGGCTCACTTTCCCTGAGTCAACACGATTTAAGTTGCTGGGATCCTTTAAAAGTGCCATTACCAGAAAAAACACGAATTTGTCAAAGCTCCAAAACCACAGCAGCGGGCGGTAGTCTGCATCATTTCTTGGATTAATGAAACAGATGTAATTACAAACGAGACACGAAATTCAACTAGCCCCCCTCCATCTAGATTTTTCCATATCGTGAGAACCTATTTTAGAATGGCATAATGGTCCACATTTGGGTTTAGGTGTTGATTTTATTATGGGTAAGGCTTGTGCTTGTTCCCACATGTTAACCACATGGCCTCAGCCACAGGGCACTTCCAAAGGAAGTAACTGCTTCTGGTCTTGGGGGTCTTGTGAAAAGAGAACATTGCTCAGTAATCGTCTGTGATTTCAGCTAGTGTGTTTCAGGCATTATTCAGAAGGACTCAGAAGAGGTAAGAGAAACCAAAACTGAACTCGTTTTTTGTCTTTTTCAAAGTGAAGGAGGTCTAATGAATATCCCCATCTTGCTTTTAAATTAAAATTTTAAAAGTAGATTTTTTTCCCCCTTTCCTATTGTTTGACCCAATTTTGGAGTGAAAGGTAACCAGTTACTATTTCCATTCGAATTTAAATTAGCAATTTTATGTTGTTTGCTCAAGCAGTATAACGAGTGTAGAGCTTTGAGGGTTTCAAAAAGATACGAAATGTACCTCTTATCTCCTGGGCTTCCCCCTCCCCCCTCCTACATAGTTTTAAATGCTTCTAATGAGTTACTTTGGTTAAGGATAATCAAACACCTGTAAACTGCCAGGATCCTAGGTACATGCTGTTTTTAGTTTGAGCAGCCTGATTTTTGTCTACAAGAGCTCTTTGTGTATTGGAATATAAAAGGAATAATTTATTACATTCCCAAGGGTAGAATTAAAGACTTAAGTTTTTCAGATTTCATCTCTTGATAACAGTTTTCCTTTAAAAAAGTAACAGTTTGTTTTTCTGAGGAACTAAAGGTCCACTTTTTCATATTGGTAACAGTAAAGGTAATGTATTTCAAACAGGTGATGCAGTCTGTAAAATATTTTGAACCAAATCAGTGGAAGACCAGGGTTTTTCTTTTTTTCTTTTTCTTTTTTTTTTGAGACGGAGTCTCACACTGTCACCCAGGCTGGAGTGCAGTGGCCTGATCTCAGCTCACTGCAGCCTCCGCCTCGCGAATTCAAGCGATTCTCTTGCCTCCCCAGCTCCCCAGTAGCTGGGATTACAGGCGCCCACCACCACGCCCAGCTAAGTTTTGTATTTTTAGTAGAGACGGGGTTTCACCATGTTGGCCAGGCTGGTCTCGAACTTCTGACCTTGTGATCCGCCTCCCAGAGTGCTAAGATTACAGGCGTGAGCCACCGTACCCGGCCGGGTTTTTCTTAAACTGGCATTTGAACATCTGGAACAGGCAGGGAGATGTCTTTTTTGAAGTATAAATGTGTTTTGTTATATGATCTGTAACAATTCTACTTGTCTCTTTTGAGAGTCTTTCTCTGTTGGCCAGGCTGGAGTGCAGTGGCACAATCTTGGCTCACTGCAACCTCCGTCTCCCGGGCTTAAGCAATTCTCCTGCCTCAGCCTCCCGAGTAGCTGGGATTACAGGCGTATGCCACCATGCCCGGCTAATTTTTGTATTTTTTTTTTTTTTTTTGGTAGAGATGGGGTTTCACCATGTTGGCCAGGCTGGTCTCCATCTCCTGACCTCAGGTAATCCACCCGCCTTGGCCTCCCAAAGTGCTGGGATTACAAGGCCTGAGCCACTGTGCCTGGTCGATAATTCTACTTGTCTTTTAAAGTTCAATAAAAATATGTGGCATGTATATGGGATAGTACCAAACTGGTGCCTAAAAGCAATGACACCACCATTGGACTAATTGGAATGATTTTTCTGTTGGCTGAAGATTTGACCACAGAGAGGTTTTGCTTTTTTTTCCTTGCAGGAATGAAAAATTAAAAAAAAAAAAATAGTTCTTTTTTCTCTTCCTAGCCTCTTGACAGTAAGTAGAGAGTGAGAAGAATGATGCCAAGGCATCCTGACCTGCTACGTGGAGAACGCTCTTTCTCACTTAATAGAACTCCTATTCTGGCAGTGTCAGATGCTGCTGCAGCAAGGGAATGCTATTAAGTGATTGCAGTAAGCTATGCAGCATTTTCATGTTTAAAACTACTGGGATAATAAAGTGAGAACTTGAGGCCACCAAATTTCAAGTTGTAATTAGAAGGATTTTGTTAATTAGGAATATGAGTGCTACAGTGATCACCTGTAAATACAAATGAGGTGTTAACTAGTGAATCAAGTTGCCAGTGTTTGTGTGTTTGGTGAGACTCCTAAGTTCTGCCATGAAGTTAAAGAAAATACCTGTCTTGGCCGGGCGCGGTGGCTCACGCTTGTAATCCCAGCACTTTGGGAGGCCGAGACGGGCGGATCACGAGGTCAGGAGATCGAGACCATCCTGGCTAGCACGGTGAAACCCCATCTCTAGTAAAAAATACAAAAAACTAGCCGGGCGAGGTGGCGGGCGCCTGTAGTCCCAGCTACTCGGGAGGCTGAGGCAGGAGAATGGCATAAACCTGGGAGGCGGAGCTTGCAGTGAGCTGAGATCCGGCCACTGCACTCCAGCCTGGGCGACAGAGGGAGACTCCGTCTCAAAAAAAAAAAAAAAAAACAACAACAACAACAAAAAAAAAACCTGTCTTAAGATTCGAGAAACCTGTGTGAATGAATTAAAAGTAATTATGACTGTAGATTTTTTTTTAAAGCTATCAGTTCTAGTTTTACTTTGGTTTTTATCTAAAGAGAAATACAGAATGAATACAGCATTACAATTCAAATGTGTGGCTTTTTTTAAGTTACTAGATATATAGTAGTAATACTTTGATGTAATATTTTGAAGAAAGGAGTGAATTGGTATAATTCCCTACTTTAAAAATATTACACAATAGCATTTTTGTCATATATTATCATAGCATTTTTGCGTACTTTACCACTTATTTTTTTTTTTTTTTCTTGAGATGGAGTCTTGCTCTGTCACCCAGGCTGGAATACAATGGCAGGATCTCAGCTCACTGCAAGCTCTGCCTCCTGGGTTCAAGCCATTCTCCTGCCTCAGCCTCCTGAGTAGCTGGGACCATAGGCATGTGCCACCACGCCCGGCTAATTTTTGTGTTTTTAGGTTTTTTGGAGATGGAGTCTTGCTCCGTCATCCACACTGGAGTGCAAATGGCATGATCTCAGCTCACTGCAACCTCCACCTCCTGGGTTCAAGTGATTCTCTTGCCTCACTCTCCTGAATAGCTGAGATTATAGGCACGCACCACGATGGCCAGCTAATTTTTGTATTTTTAGTGGAGACAGGATTTCACCATTTTGGCTAGGCCGCCGACCTCAAGTGATCTTTTCGCCTTGGCCTCCCAGAATGCTGGGATTACAGGCATGAGCCACTGTGCCCGGCCTCAAGTCTTAACCAAAGCCTTTGCAGAGGATTTAGAGCGAGACTCTTGAAATCCTGATTGTAGTACTTTCTAGCTGTGTGGCTTTGGGTAAGTCACTTGGTGTCAGATTTTCTTATTTTTTATCTTTTTGAGATGGAGTCTCGCACTGTCGCCCAGGCAACCTCCGCCTCCTGGGTTCACACCATTCTCCTGTCTCAGCCTCCTGAGTAGCTGGGTCTACAGTTGCCTGCCACCACGCCCAGCTAATTTTTTGTATTTTTAGTAGAAATGGGGTTTCACCGTGTTAGCCAGGATAGTCTTATATCTCTTGACCTTGTGATCCGCCCACCTCGGCCTCCCAAAGTGCTGGGATGACAGGCATGAGGCATTGCACCCAGCCAATGTCAGATCTTGAGTTTGTCATTAAAATGGAGCAAGAAGACATAACTTGTAAGGTTGTAAGATTATAGATATGTTTACTAATGCCTGACTCATAGATACCCAGCTATTAATTAAAACCCTTCAAGAATTCAGGGCAGGCAGAAATGGATATAATTAACC